TAGTCTTATCCCTCTGGGCAGAGAGTCTATCGGAAACATTTCCAATCTCCATCTCCCATGGTGGAGGTAAGGTCTGAGACTCTGAGTACATTTTGTCCTCCAACTTGTGAGACCACACCTGATTTGTTGTACAACTTTACAGACACAATTGTGAAACACGGTTTTTGTTTATATTTAAGTTCATTTAATAGTTTAATGAGTCAAACACAAGTAACCAAGTTATGAATGTTAAACAAAGCATGCTTGAGCATATTGCTTAACAGCCCAAATGATAAATGAGTTTACCATGGAACCCTCTCAAGAACCAAGAAAGCCAGTCTAAATATAGATCATTGTTAGCTCAACTTCAAGTAGTTTTCACCCGATGTTTAATATTCATCCGACATATTTTTCCTGCGTGTTGGTAAAGGGATGCATAAATGTAGTTGAACTTCGAGATGTCAAATATCTGGGTGTTATTTTTCGTTATGGTCACACCCTGACTCTTTTGTGCCTTCCTTTGCTTGTCTAGATTGCCTCTAAGTTCCTCAAACCGGACAAGAAAACTGTAGACATCGTTGGCAATCAAAAAATGAAGGCCAGCACAAGTGTCAGACACATTATTATTCCATGCTCAAGTTCAGCCAGATCCCAGCTTATTCCTGATATTATTAGATCCTACAGCAGGTTTGTTGTTTTCATTTTTGAATATTCATAATCTGTGACTTGCAAAATCTATTGATTTAATAATCTCACTCTTATTTCATGTAATGATTATAGTGGAGGTCGTACTATTATTTTCACTGAAACAAAGGGTTATGCTTCTGAGCTTGCTGGCACGTTGCATGGAGCTCATGCTTTACATGGAGATATACAGCAGTCCCAACGCGAGGTAAAACTTGCTCAATGCATGTGCTGCATTTCTCTGGTGCTACATTGAAGAATGCAATGAATATTCTTCACATGATTTTCCAGGTTACACTAGCTGGTTTCAGATCAGGCAAGTTCTTGACATTAGTAGCCACAAATGTGGCAGCTCGTGGATTAGACATTGATAACGTCGAGTTAATTATCCAGGTTTGATTTTACAATATATGGTAGTTATGCACTATTAGAAAAAGTTGTTTCATTTACTGAAGGTGATAATGCTATATCAGTGTGAGCCTCCACGTGATGTAGAAGCTTACATTCATAGATCAGGAAGGACAGGAAGGGCAGGTGAGTTGCTGATCCTAGTGTCACATAGATTTATCTTCAAGGAATATATATTGAATGCATGCATTGCTATATGTTCTTCAGGAAATACTGGTGTGGCTGTAATGCTTTATGATCCTAAGAGGTCCAACATTACTAGGATAGAAAGAGAATCTGGTGTCAAGTTTGAGCATATAGCTGCTCCACAGCCATCTGATATTGCTAAAGCTATGGGAAAAGAAGCTGCAGAGCAAATTGAAGGAATGTCTGATAGGTACAGAACGCACTTTAATTTATGATTTTTATTTTTTAAATTATAGCTGTCTTATACCTTGGCTAATGTTCTTATTATCAAAATTGTGAAGCGTAATACCTCCTTTCAAGGATGCTGCTGAGCATCTCCTAAAGACCTCTGCTTTATCACCAGCAGATTTGCTTGCAAAGGCACTGGCAAAGGCTGTTGTAAGTTTGTGTTACTTCTTGTTTCTGTTGGTTGAATTCAATAAAGGGCCATTTCTGAGCATATCTACCCACTTTTCAGGGATATACTGAAATCAAGAGCCGGTCACTCCTTACTTCCTTGGAGAACTGTGTTACACTACATCTTCAGAGTGGAAGACCTGTCTACTCACCTTCGTAAGAATTCAATGTGTTATTTGGTTTCTCATATTAGAAAATTGCATTTGGTGTCTGACCTTCAGGTTTGTGTCATGAAGTTGTGAGTTTTGACAATTGTATAGTAAAATGCTAAGAGAAGCTCATCTGCACATTTTCTCAAGTAGTGTTTGACATGAAATTTTAAAAGTACCTCAACTGTAGAATAACATTTTTGGTGCTTATTTCGGAAAGCATCAGGTTGGTGACTTTGCTCTTTAGTGTTTAAAGGAGAGTACTTGTAAAGAACTTATAGCATAAGTCATCCCTACAAAGTCTTTTGGTGGCTTGGAGAAGGATTCAGAAACAAATGGAAGTGGGGAAGTAGGCTCTTAAATATAGTGTAGTTAGAAACATTACTTGGTGAATGAACTTGGTATAGTAAGTTTGGCAAAATATATTACCAAGGTTTTTGGTGTGTTGGAGAAGGGATCTATGACGATACTAAACCATAAAAAACACTCTTTATAAATCTCATTTATAAAAAATTAAGTGTTCTTTTCCTTCATTTGTGAGCTCTCGCTTTGCATTGCAGTTATTACTAAATCTCATTTTTAAAAAATTATCTGGAGTAAGTATGAAGTACATTTGAGCGAGTACATGGTGAGGACAGTTTGTAAAATAGTTGACAAATCTTAGATGTTACAAAGTTAGTTTGAGAGTGTTAAGTACTTTTAAAAGTCCCGTTTCAATTTTTGTGTTGGTGTTTGTTGAATACTAGGTATACTACCTGCCTTTTAAAACATTATTTTAGAAAACTTTTGCTCTCTAATAATTGTTCCTTTAGGATTCCAGAAAAGCATTGATTGATCATTTTCTCCTAAAGTAAATGCTACATAGTACCTTTATTTATTAAGTTGGGTATTCTAGTCATGTTATAATTTGGTTGTATAAAGGTTATAGTTTTCTTTGTATGCAACCTCAAATGACACTAAAGTTAAAATGGGAGTAATAATGTGCACATATTATGCTTATATGATTTATCATTTTTGAACTATTAATGTCCATGAATGGTTAGAGTAAGGGCATTGCTGGAATTGGTAAATTATTCTAGGTTAAACTAAAACATGGGACATGAGTAAGCACTTATGACTATCTCTTTTCCGTATCTATATAAACCAAAATGCTCCCTCTCCCTCATGGAGCGGAAGCTACCCCACCCCCCCCCCCCCCAAAAAAAAATAAACAATGGTTGCTTTGCATTGGTACTTGTGCAGTGGGAGTGCAAAACCTTTTTCTTCTTTCAAAATAACTGATTGAAAACACTATTTTCATTTTATATGTACCAAACTTGATATATGATGTCATCTATTGCTAATTTGCTTGCTTACCTTGTATGTTTTCTTTTTGCCAGCTTTGTGTATAATGTCTTGAGAAGGTTCTTACCTGAAGAGACTGCTGAATCAATCAAAGGGCTGACTTTGACAGCAGATGGCAAAGGGGCAGTCTTTGATGTGTCCACGGAAGATGTAGAAACATTCTTGGAGGGTATGATTTACTCCGTATTATTAGTTGATCTTTTTGGTAATTAATGAATAAGAAACATATGTGACTATATGAACAAGTCATTGTTTGGTAAAAGATGACTGGAATCTTGAAATGGTGCTTCATTTAGTTTGTTTAACACCTTTTTGTAAACAATTAAAATATGGGGTGGTTCACATGACATTGCTAACCATAGGATGACCAATAGGCCTACGGTGCCTCATTAAAAAAATTGACTGTTCCTACCTCCTCTAACCCCCTGTTAAACACCCCGGCCCAACCCAATCCCACCCCACACCACCCCCTTCAATTATGCCCCCAAATTTTGTAGACTTGGTCAAATTTTGACTCCAAACTCAACAAAATCTCTAGCTAAAGCTGTTTCTGATTTGATTCGTTCCCAATAAGTAGTAAGTGGAAGAGAACATTGCCAATAAGTAATAAAAATAAGTAATTGGGACTGTTTTTGGTATGGGTAGGCATATATGTGATCAAACTCTTGGCATGTCATCCTCTGCAGGTTCAAAGAAAGTATATGATGCAAAGCTGGAAGTCGTGAAAGAATTGCCTCACCTTCAAGAAAGGGAACCGGCACCCCGTGGAAGATTTGGTGGCGGCGGTGGCCGTTTCTCTGGCGGTGGGAGGAGTTGGGGAGGCGGAAGAGGTGGTGGCGGCGGCGGCAGTAGGGGTCGCAGATTTTGAAAGAACCAAGATGCAGGTGGCAGGTCAACGTAGATATCGGTCTACATCGATCAGAAATTTTTGGATTAAAGACAGTATTTTAGTTTATGGACAATGAAGAAAAGTGTAAAACTAGACCAAGCTATAGCTATATATATACATAAAATTTTGGAATTACAAACCTTTCTCGTTTCCCATTTGTATTGGAGTGATTTACTTTAGTCAATTTATTTGGAAATGTTTCTTGTACTAATGACTACAATGATTTTTTATGTGCAAGCAATTAGTTTTAGCATTTGAATGGGTTTTGATGGATGTTAATTCACTAGAATTATGAAAGTTGATGTTAAAGTTCAACTAATCTTCATTAGAATGGCGTAATTCACAGAATTTTCGCTCTTTCATACATAAAGTGGCTTTGCAAATTTTAAAATTTTGCTTTATCATGCCAATTAACTACTTCCAACAAGTAGATATGACTACAATATGACTGATTTAATTAAGGATGTTAAATCTACAACTTAAATGGTTATATTTGTTAAATCTACACTAGGAAAACTAAAACCAAACATGGTCGCCTCTAATATGTTCTTGATCTGGAACCAACCGTTCTGGAATTCGAACAGAATCAAACAAGAGGCCGGTTGTCACAACATTGGTGACATAAAATCAATGTCATGAAATGATTTGGGGGTGTTCTAGTGTTCCGTTTGTAAAGTTGACAGTTTTTTTCCCTTAACCTCCGAGTAAACCTCCCACCCCATCCTGACATGAATGCACCCTCAACCCTTTTAGTACTTTCTCTTTTTGCAAAGACCAACTTCTTTTATGCTCTAAATAAAATACCGTCTATAAAATGAGCATTGATTTTAAATTCACGGAAGAATTTAGATTCACTTTTTATCTCATTTTTTTTGAAGGACCACACGTCCACACCCTTTAATTTAGTTCAATTTGTTCCGTTTATTCCGCGAGTTAAAACGGAAAACAAATTTACTCGCGCGACTGTGCGGCGAGTGTTACGGATTTTACGGCGAGGGAATATAGACTCCATATTTACCCACCGCATCTGTCTGACAGGGAGGGGGCCAGCTAGCCCACCACAAGGGTTTTGAACTTTTTTTTTCCCACCAAAATACTTTTCACCACCATGGAAACGCCTCCTCCTCCACAGTTTCAGCCACCGCAGCAGCCTCGAAAGCGCGGCCGTCCCAAGGGTTCAACCAACAAGAAGCCCAAACTCCGCGTTTCGCAGCTTCCAGCCACACCCGCCGCCGCCGCCGCATCTACACCCAAAGCGCGGCCCGGCGCCCGCAACAGCAACGAAATCGCAGCCGGGGCCTCTGAGCTCCTACCAGCTGCATCAATCTCCGATGAGAAGTATGATCAGTGGAAGTCCATTGTTCCGATCCTCTATGACTGGATCGCCCATCACAATCTCGTCTGGCCTTCCCTTTCATGCCGGTAAATAGCAGTCCTGATTTTTAAAGATTAATGCAGTCCTTCACATGAAAGCTCTTTGCTGAGCTCAATTTTGGGGTTCAGTTTTGAATGGAATAGGGTTAAAATGAAGCACACATTTCTTTTGGTGTTGTAGACTTGTAGTAAGGGAACACGATTCAGTATCGCCTATTGGCTGGAATGTTGGATTGCTAAAGCTCCTTCGTGTAGTTTAATGGATTTCATTTTAGTGTTGCAAAAAATAATCACTATATTTTTTGAATTTGTGATTTGTCTTTCCATAAACAAGATTTGTTGTTCATAATTGGATATTTGAATGACTTGTGGATAGGTGGGGTCCTGTGGTTGAGCAGCACAGTGACAAAATTCTCCAGCGGCTCTACCTGTCTGAGCAGGTAAGTCTAATTTTATGCAATTGCATTAACTTGAAATTGTGATTTAACGATAGTAATTAGTAATAAACCATGTCAAACAAATTTAGTAAGTTCCACTTACAAGTTACAAGTAGGGTATGGAGAGGGTGAAATGTACACATGTCTTGCCAAGGATTAGAGATGTTGATTTTACAATAGTAATGCAGTAAGATAATCATATTGTTGTTTTTTATCGTGCTACTATTTTGGTTTACATGGCGTTTTATATTTTTCCACTAGAAAACCATCTGTTGCCATTTTAAATTTTCACTCTAAATCTTGTATACTGAAAAATAACCTATACATATATTGATACTCTATTTCTTAGAAATTTTATCTTCTCATAGTCCAATGTTCTTTTGTGATTGCTGATCAGTGGATTGTAATGAGTAATCTCCACCACCTAGTTTGGACTACTTACAGAGTTACAGGTGTGTTTGGTTTGAGAGAGGAAAGGGATGGGAACACCGCTCATTTGTTTTCCGGAGGGGGCGGGGGAAAATGTAAGGGGGCAAATGAGGGGAGAAAGGAATAAATGTTGACCCCCTCCCCTTACTAATACTTAACCCAAACAGGGGGAGGTGAGATGGTTGCTTCCTTCTCCTCCTCCAGAACCAAACACATCCTACATATCCATCTATTTCATTTATTTCATCATCATCTCGTCAATATTCGTTGCTTGATGCAATAATATGTTTTATTTCATTCCCTTCTTTGATTTCATATATGTGCAGTTTTTTCATGCTTTTGAACTTAATTGATTAAAAAATCCATTCATCAGTGTATGTTGAGCATCTTATATTTCAATTGGTTAATGCTCCTACTTTTTCATGTAATCAATTTCATCAGACAGATCAATCAGCACCAAACACATTGATTATAGCTAACTGTGAGGTGGTTCGAGCAAGAATTGCTAGAGGAAGCCACCTAAAGAATGTACGTAAACTTTTTGTTTATTCAAGTTCTACTAGTTTCTTTATACTTTTCATTGTTTTGATTTTTTATTGCTTATCTACTTGATTTCTAGTTCAATGTGGAGCCACACTCGCCATATGTCAAAAAGTACAAAACCATTTTCCATCCAGGAGAGGTATGTGCGCCTTTCTGTTGCTATTTACACATTGTTTAACTCATGAAAGAGAAACAGAGAATACAAGATGTATATTGAACTTGACACTTAAGACTTTGGATCTTTTTATGGGGTAAGGTGTAAAGCGATTGATTATCAACTATATTTGTTGTTGGGTGGATCCATGTGTATAGTAGGAGGTTAACAATACTCTTGTGGTCCACTTTAGTGACCTCAACTCAGTCTGAATTTCTTTCATGGTATCACATCAGATTGAAAACTTGTCTTTCTAGTGGTGCATTTCTTAATAATTTAAAAAAACTAAATTGTGAAGGTAAGAGAAATATTTTTCTTCATTTTTTCCAAAATTACCTTGGATTATCATTTTCAACTATCAGCTTATTAAGACAATAAAGTAACATACACTAGTGTTTAGTAGAAAATTTAAACATAAAGGAAATTGGACTACCAAACAGGCACTAAGACTTCAGCCTACCCTAAACTATAATATATCCATTACACAAACTGTTTTCACAATGTAAATAGTAAAACTGTAGTGGTGTAGAAGTATAAACATTGAAAATGTAGAGGGAGTGAGAATGGATAGTAAGAAAAATAGGAGGAAAGGATGAAAAGGTAAGGAGACTCGTGTCATTTGATAAAATCTTACAACAACAACAAATCCAGCATGCAAACCTTTTTATAAAATGTTCTGTAGGTGAACAGGATCAGAGAACTTCCTCAGAATAAAAACATAGTGGCTACCCATACTGATGGTCCTGAAGTAAGTTGTTGGATAATTCTCTTTTTCAATTTTATTATTTTCCCATGGTTAGTGAAAGGATCTACCACTTCTGATATCACTTCAAGTTCTAAAACTTATGCATTAGGTTCTGATATGGGATGTTGAAGCTCAACCTAATCGGCAAGGCGCTCTTGGAGTTGCTGTGTCAGTTCCAGATTTGGTGAGTATTCATGATCTTTTTCCTCAATCTCTACCTAAATAAATACTATAGCTTGGTCTAGTACTCTAGTTCTCTGGCCCATGCTTCAGATCACGCAAGAAGATATTTGATTGATTATTGGAACCGTTTAAGTGAGTGTAATAGACTCACTGTGTCCCTGAATTACTCCATACATATTAGCTTAATCTTCTACTCCGTATTTCAGTAGAGAAGGAGAATTAGCCGAATATATTTTGATTGATGCCTGCAAGTGAAAGATATACAAAACATAAATTTTAATGCTACCAGATAGAGTTCAAAAGATCCTGTATTTTTTTAGGAATCAATAAAGCAATCATCCAGTTCTATTTCAAAATATTCCTGTTTTATTTTGTTAACAAATACAGTTGCTGATATTTCCAATTCAAAAATGTTGATGTAAAGCTTGCAGTACTTTAAGGGTCATACCCCTCCAAGCTTTCACCTCTTGGTTCCCTTAGATGAACTCTTTAGTTCTTTACGTATCCAAGTTATTGGCCTCATAAAAAATTTATTTCAAAATTTCCACCTTCAATGAGAGGAAAGTCTTGGTTTCTGTTAAAATATAAATAATTGTTCCTGGCCACAACTACAAGCTTGAGCTTTTGGTTGAGTTGGTTCCTTGACATGGTATCAGAGCCTCGTTAACTAAGAGGTCACGGGTTCGAAACTCAGCGTCGCCCAGTTTTTAAAAAAAATTAAGGTTTCACGTGCAAGGCTCGAAAAAGACTACGCCTGCACGTGAGGGGGCGTGTTAAAATATAAATAATTGTTCCTGGGCCACAACCACAAGCTTGAGCTTTTGGTTGAGTTGGTTCCTTGACAGTTTCAAACAAATGCATCTAAATTTGGTATAAACAAATCACAATATCCTATATTTTTAAGAGGGCTAATTTGGACACATAAATCTTTAGGCAGAAATGCAGAATTTAAGGCAATTTGTTTAATGCAAGATACTTCCTCAATTGTTTTACAGTAAGTGGTCATTTATTGGCAGACATTGACCGGACATCAAGATAATGCTGAATTTGCTCTGGGCATGTGCCCTCTTGAGCCCCTTGTACTATCTGGAGGTAGGATTTTTCAATATATATTTTTCTTGTCAATTCATCAAAGCTTGTTATCATTAAGTTATATAAACTGATTTATGGTTTATTCTGCAACGAAATGGAATCTCATTCATGCATTATGTTAAGCTATGTGTTTGGTATATGCATAAATTCACTGGCAATTTGGCATCACAGTTAATTTGCTAAATGAGTGCAAAAGCTTTTCTAGATTTGTTTGCTTAAAACGCTGCTTGAATACTTCGAATTGTTCTTGGTTTCTATCTCCAAGTGTGAACGTGTTTGACAGGAAGAGACAAATCTGTTGTATTGTGGAGTATTCAGGACCACATTTCAACATTGGCCACTTACACACAGAAGGCTGCAGGATCAACTGGTTCATCTATTAAAGCTGTTGGCAATCCTTCTATTGGAGCTCGTGGAATCTTTAAAGGGCATGATGATACTGTGGAAGATGTTCAGTTCTGCCCTTCAAGGTAATAATAAATTCTATGCGACTATGCCTCTTTTTTTGGTTGAAATAGAATACAACTTCCACAGATGATAGTTCTCGAATCCTCTTCTGTCTTGTGATCTGAAGATTTTTACTGGTTTTCTGTTATAATGCAGTTCTCAGGAATTTTGCAGTGTTGGGGATGATTCATGCCTTATACTATGGGATGCCCGAGTTGGTCCTACTCCAGTTTTGAAGGTCAACTGCATTCCTTTGATATGTGTCTATTGGTAGTTATTCAAAATTTTACTGTATTTATTAGGAGGTGAGAAGCTTATGGAGATCTATATGGTTATATAAGCTAAGGTTCTTTATTTGGGGATCTTTACATCTTGAAATCAGGTTGAAAAAGCTAGTAATGCAGATCTTCACTGTGTGGACTGGAACCCTCATGATCACAATCTTATAATAACGGGGTATTTCTCGGTAAACTTAAGGGAACTTTATTATTTGCATGTCTTAAATGATGCAAAAAGGACATGTCTACTGTTGTTCCCTATATCCCTTTTTATCTTCCCACTTTCCCTTTTTGAATGTACCTAATTAGTCTCCCCATTTTCTTTTGAAAGTAAGAATTCTTTGGTTCACATTCATTAGCTCTCCTCTGCACATATTTCAACCATACAATTTCACATTTCTTAAAATCTTTGTAAAAAGAAATTTTGAAGATAAAATAGGGACGGATGGAGTATTATTTCTCTAGTTATTGTTATAGTTTTTGCTGTGGTGTGCTGATTGTTTGTTGTGTGTTTTGCTGTTCAGATCTGCAGATAGTTCTATCTGCTTGTTTGATAGGCGTAGTTTATCTTCAAATGGAGTGGGTTTGCCAATTTATAGATTTGAAAATCACAAAGCTGCAGTTCTTTGTGTGCAGGTATTAAGTCTGTTTTTTTCTTTTTCCATTGGTTTATGCTAATGCAATACTATTACATGTTAGATGATTTACCAATCACCATACACTAAGCTTAGTTGTTTTCCAGTGGTCTCCAGACAAGTCATCTGTTTTCGGGAGTTGTGCAGAGGATGGTCGAGTTAATGTCTGGGATTGTGCAAAGGTAACATTCTATCCTAAAAAAGTATTCTAGAATTACTAATGCAAGTTAATTGCATATTTACAGAAAAGCGGTTACGCATTACATTCCATTCTAGACAAGCTACCATCCACACTATTTTGTTAAAAACCAAACAAAAAATACCCAGTATCTTAAATTGCACCGAGACTAGGGTGGGTACTTATCCGGGGACGGGTTTTGAAACGTGGAACCACCAACTTTTCCAAATTGTATAAAGGATTTTGGTGTCGGGACATCCCTAAGTACCCAAACGGGGACTGGGAGCGACACTTATTTGAAGAATCCATTATGTCCCACTCAAATGCACATTTTAAACTGTTTGTTCATTTTCTATAACATACTCCCATTTTGCATAAAAGTTATACTCCTTACTCCCCAAAATATATGGAAGTGAGAAATGAGAAGGGTGTGGAAACTAGTTATATGGTGTATGGAAACCCGTAAGAAACATTCAAATTAGCGGGGCCACCCCCTTCTTTTTCTTCTCTAGTGGATGAAACTCATTTTTGCATTCTCAAGTCTCAATTCACATTCTTCTCAAACCAACCAATATTAAATTTTCACCTTCTCTCATCTCTAGTTTTTGTCTGTCTCACCTCATGTTCTCATCATAATTTCTTTCCCCATCCAAACCAAACAATAAGCAAAGACAACCTTATAAAATGCCTTTTTGATCCTTGCAGGTTGGTGAGGATGCTCAGGTACCTGTTGGCTTATTTTTCCAGCATGCCGGGCACAGGTTAGACCCTATACACTGCATTAATTAACTCCCCCACCATCTTTTTTAGATAAGACTTTTGTTACAATTTCTTACATATCCAATTTGAATGTAAATGTAATACGGAGTATAAAGAGTAAAATAAAATCGCATTATTCAATTTGAATTTGACAAAATATAAAATTATATTTCTCTAAAAAAATAGTGAAATGTCACCAAGTGATCAATTATGCTCTGTTATGCTAATATCCTTTATTTCAAATGATATTTTTGCCTTGGGTAAATCAATTATATTCCATTTTGCTAATAGAATAAAAAATAATCTGAAATAAAAGCTAGTGTATTCGAAAAAAAGCTATTGTATTCAATTACTCCCTCCATAATACCATTTTGGATACATGGGGGAGTGGCACGAAAAATTATGAAAAGTTAGTTTGTGTGGTCGATATTGATGTTATATAGTAAGATAAAGTAAGAATGATTATGAACAACAAAAATATGACTAAATATGGAACGAGACAAAATTAGTGGGACAAACAAAAAAGGTAAAATGAGACCAACATTGGACTGGAGTACCTCATATTATCGCAGGTTCCAATTCATTCTAATAAAAAAATTACGAATCTATCATAATCGCATGTTCCAAATAACTTTGTGATTCATTTTTTTTTGAAACATGGAAGATTTGTCTAATATAATAAATTAAAACAATTGAACTGAGATGCGGGAGAGGTGAGTGGAAGATTTGTGCGTGGCGTGCGTGTGAACATCATTAAGGAAGACAAATTTTAAAATTGAAAGATTTTTGTAATTGAATAATAGAAAAAAATTGAAAGCTTCGAAAATCAGCAAATGAAGACAAAGAAGCAGCTGTGTCGAAATAGCAGGGAGAGAGAAGAATAAAAATAACCAGGGAAGATAAAGGGAGAGAAAGAAAAGAAAGTAGGGAGGTTTAGATGAAGGAGTGTGAGGTAAGGAGGGTAAGACGAAGGAGAATGAGGTGGAATAATGTGGCAATCTATCCGATTTGGAGGCAATGAAAAGAAGGGGAGGGGAAGGAATGAGAGACCAAAAAAGAGGTTCCCTCCACTCCAACCAAACAGGCCCTAATGAGCTTAGTCTAATTATAATTAGTTTAGTAATCCTAACCCTGGTTTTTTCATATCTTTCTTCTAATCTCTCTTTGCACATAATTTGGGAGCCTAGCCTCTTTCATTGGCCATTTTCTTTAATATTCAGCCTAAAATTTCTTCCCGGTGGTCATACCAAACAAATTTCCACTACCATCCTAGTCAGTATTCTATGGTGATCTCCAAGCTCAAAAATCACTGCTGCCATCAGCTGCACGTGTGTTGCTGGCCAAACTAGGGCTCCTAGTGGTCTATGGACGACGCCACCAACACCGTTGTCTTTCTCACCCTCCAACGACAGACGGCCATATGTGGAAGTAGGTTTCAAGAACTTTTTTTTTTAAATCCCAATGGATTTGTGAGGACTCCACACTCAGCCAATGTTGTATAAATCATTGGAATGGTTACACTATTCACTGCAGAATATGAGGAATACCTTCAATTACATACAACCACCTTCCATTATTTCTATTGGACTATTGGTACTTTTTCTCTGTCTTTTACCTCTAAGACAGTACTCATTGATTCAAATGCCTTAGGTTGGCACAATGGGCGCACATGCCTGGTAATGCACTTCTGTCCAATCTTCACATGTCTCTCTTTTTAATATAGAAACATTAGCTAACATTGTTAAGACTCTAGCTAAAGGAATTAGTATGCTTTACCTTTGCATCGCTTCCACTTGAGCCACTCTTATAGTCTTATGTTTGCCAAAAAGGTCATTTAGGTTCCATTGTGTTCACATTTTGTCATTTGATTATGTCAATTCTCATCCCAGAGTGACCATGCAATTCCATTTGGTTATGATTAGCAAAAGTATGAGCAATGTTTCTAGATCTCATTATCTGATTTTCAAGAATTATAGTGAGGTGATGCTAGAATTAAAGTTTGAAAAGAAGAATCTGTCTTCCCCTCATTTCTGCAAAAAAGTCAGTGGATTCCATCTAATGAGCTCATGTGTTTCATGCAATTTTATAAAAAATGCTTGTAAAAATGACCGGCCAAATGCGCAACCAAGTTGTTTACTAGATTTTGGAAAGTGGAATTATTCCATTCAAAAACTCCTTATTCTAGAATTAATCTAAGAATTGGGACCAAATGGACTCTTAGTCTTGCATCTTTTAGTAAATATAACTCAATCTTTTAACTACTGTTTAACCTTTTTGGCCAATTCTGCAATGGTGCAAGGCCGCTGTACTTGGAAAACAATTGGCATCTTGCTTGAGTCACACACAGACTCACTGTGCATATTTTGTCTTCGTCCTTTAAATCAAGTCACATGTTTGTCCACCGAGCCTCTCATTGTCATCCATAATCATTTGGGCCATCCAAAACTCTAAGTCTCCAGATGGATTCGTATATTGTGTCAGCCTGGTCTTCCTGATCGATGTTCTCTTAGGTCTATCTAGCCCTAAGTCTCTAGATTGTAAGGCCTGCCATCTTGGAAATCAACATTTTTAGTCCTTCACGAGAACAATCAATAATTGCGCGACAACCTTATCTCATTTAATTCAAACTGATGTACAAGGTCCGTGTAGAGTCCATTCTTAATAGCAATACTACTCTCCTGAACTTAGAGTATGATTTGTCTCTGCTGAGTGATGTTTATTGAGCCCTTTATGTAGTATTAGACAGTCATATATGAGTATATGACAACTCTCCTCTTGAAGCGCTACCTCTATGTGCCCCAAACGATGACACTCCAAACCTTGTTTCCACAACCTAGATTTCCGGTCACAATAAAAAACCCCTTGGCATTAGGCTATTATGGCGGAGATGGGTGCGTTGCATTCTACTTGTATGTGGGACAGTGGGGTTTGGGTACTCTTCCTCAAGGTATAACCTTGATTTATACCATCAAAGTTGGTGCACATGGCAACATTGATAGCCTTAAAGCTAGGTCGGTTGCAAAAAGATACTCTATTCCGTATTTATGTTCCCGGTTTGACGTTCACCGAGTTAAAGAAAAGTGGATTTATACGGTTGAAATTATTCAGAGAGAAATAATATAAACCACACAACTCATTCATTTAAAGAAATGGGGACTTTATTGTTGGATATCCTAAAAGGAAAGTGGAAACTTAAATATGGAACGGAGAGAGTATATATCAATCTTTGATTTATTCAGAGGAGAGAAATAATATGAATCACACAATGCATTCCTTTAAAGAAATGTGAACTTTATTGTAGGATGTCTTAAAATGGGAGTATACTGTACATCAATCTTTGGACTGGAGTATACATATATTGTTATATTTACTCACCATTTGCAATAATCACATGTGTACAATTGATAATGCATATGGCTACCATTTAGTCATTGTCCATTGTCCCACTGGGATATCTAGAATGCATTTGTTCATGTAGACCTACAGGAATTATTCATTGATCAACTTTTTGGTCTTGTTGCTCAGGGGAGTCTGGGGTTGTTTTTAAACTTCATGGCTCTCTTTAAGGACTCAAACTATTACAGAGTATTATGAAACAAGGAATGTTATATGAAATAATGGCCATTCTCATATTTTTGGATATTTTGGTGTTATTTTTGGACCTTCTTCATGTAGATGGACGCTCCACATCAGGAATGCTATATATAAAGAATACACATCATTTTTTGCTCAATTCGTTTCTTCAATACACCAATTAGTCGACATGAATACTGCTCCCTCTGTCCGAAAATGAAGTAAATCGCACTCTCCTTTTTTGGATGACCCGAAATGACATTTACACTTCTCTATTTTTCCTTTTAGGAAATGAGTATGTTTGTATTATCATTTCTCTCTCTTCCAAATAAATTTCAACTAGACATGAAGACACCTTTCACTTTTCATTATCTTTTTCCAACCACTCTCTTCATATTAACCAAACACAATTAAAATGATTTCCCTTGGCATTTTAAAGTTCCCCCCTAGCATTTTTGTAATTCCAAATGGACCCTGAATTTTTTTTTGCACAGGGATAAAGTTGTAGACTTTCAATGGAATGCATCTGATCCATGGACGATTGTTAGCGTGGCTCAGGAGTCCGAATCCTCAGGTAGAGGAGGCGGCACACTTCAGGTAGTAAAAACCTTTTTTTTTTCAACTCTCCGGCTCCTCCTTCCCTTGTAGTAGTTCCCATCAGCATCCTTTTTTTCTTTTGTTGCAGATATGGCGAATGCTTGATTTGCTATATCGGCCCAAAGAGGAAGCTTTGGCCGAGCTTCAAAAGTTCAAAGACCATATTTCCCAGTGTACTTCCACCAACCCCCAGTAGTCCTGATTCCTGAAGAGACAGACACATTGGTACGCGCAATACCTTAGCTAGGGTAGCTGCCCTTCAGGTTTTAGTGTTCAACCCTGAAATTCTCTATACAGGTTGCCATACTACTCATCTCAGCAAGTCTTTTACCTCTTTTTTTTTTTCTTTTTTTTTTGCCAAAGGACCTCAGAAATTAGAGTTGCCATAAAAATGTTGAATTTGGGTGTTTAACACAGGCAGCATTTGGCACATGGGAAATGATTTTAGGGAATCATTTTTCATGTTTCTCGTGTTTGGTAGGCAAAGGGGGAATTTTTTTTTTGAAAATTGTTTTGTTTCATGTTGAGGAGAAGAGCATCTTTTCTTGTACTTAGGCTCCGTTCCGTTCAACCTATTTTTTCTGATCTGATCTGATTCTAATAAGTTCTGATCTGATCTGGTCTGATCTGATCTGATCTGATCTGATTGGATCTGATCTGATCTGATCTGATTGGATCTGATCTGATCTGATCGAATCTGATCTGATTGGATCTGATCTGATCTGATCTGATTGGATCTGATCTGATCTGATCTGATCGAATCTGATCTGATCTGATTGGATCTGATCTGATCTGATTGGATCTGATCTGATCTGGTCTGATCTGATTAATTATGATTTAATTTAAAATTCAAATCAATAATTTAATTTGACTTTATAATAACGTTAGAAAATTATAATGATAATTCATATTATAATATAATAAATATTTTTTATTTAATGATTATTTTTTAATAAAATAAAAATAATTAATTCATATATTAGAATAATCATTCATATTATAATGTAATAATATTTTTTATTTTATGATAATTTTTTTTTGTAAAATTAGAATTATACATTAGAATAAATATTTAATTTAGATATACATTAAAAAGTAATTAAATTTAGATAATCAATATATAGAAGAGATAGTATTTTTATTAAAATATCTCATCCTTATAAAAGATCAAAAGTTTAGAAACTCAAACTACAAGTAGCAATAAAAATATATTTTAAAAGTAGAATTAGATTGATATTGTCAATGTATTTCAAAACTAATTTTTTCGACGTCTAATAATTAAGAATTACTTTCTCGGTTTTCTATTTAACATATTTTTAAAGTTTATTCTTTTTCATTTTTAAAAACAATAATAATAATACCAATAATAATAATAATAATAATAATAATAATAATAATAATAATAATGATGATGATGATGATGATGATGATGATGATGATGATCATAATAATAATGATCATAATAATGATAATAATCATAATAATAATAATCATAATAATAATAATAATAATAATAATTCTTGATGAGATCTGATTTTAATAAGTCCTGATCTGATCTGATTGGATCTGATTTGATCTGATTCGATCTGATCTGATCTGATCTGATTCGATCTGATCTGATTTGATCTGGTCTGATCTGATCTGATCTGATTTTAATAAGAATAAGAAAAAATAAGAAAAAATAAGTTGAACGGAACGGGGCCTTAGGCTAGAGAAATCAATTTCTCATCTCCTTAAAAAGATGTTTTCGTGTTATAATGTTGAAGGCATGTAATATCAAATTTTGGACAATACAAGTGTTGTTCAAGCCAATGCCAAATTTTGTAGTGAGTGGATGGACAATTGTCCACCCAATCACTACTAAGCATGGCATTGGTCAGGGTCCATTGTCCACCCACTCACTACTAAGCATTGGCAGCGGCGCTCCAAGCCAATGCTATGCCATGCCACCTAGGACCAATGTCATGCCAACTAGGACAAAAAAATTTCCTTCCTTGCGTGGAAGCACCTTTCCTCCATGGAGTGCAAGGCTTCTTCCTCCATGGAGTGCAAGGCTTGGCGAGGCACTTATAACTTTTTTTTTACTTTTCAATTTTTATATGAGAAAGATTTTTTTGTAAAGTAATAAAACTATTTTTTATTTTCTCCATCTCGCAATAGATTATAATACCTCTCGATATTTTTTGTTTATTTGTATGTTTTCATTGATTATTTAATTAAAAAATTTTTGTCACAACCTTTTTTGTAGAACTTTTGATGTAATTTTTAAATTTATAAGTTTTATTTTTAATTCTTATACCAATTTTTAAATGAAATGATTTTTAAAAATAGAGAGTTTTTGCATCGTAATTCTAAAATAATAATAATCTAAATTGAGATGAATTAGGAATAAATAAAAATATGGAGTAGATAACAAAAACATTTTTAATAATTAAAATATATATAAAAAATTATTTATTTGAGTAAATAGAAATATTTTCATGATAAAAATATATAAGTATAATAATATTTAATAATTCAAATATGGCAAAAATATGAAAAAAAGTGATGAAAACAATGACTTGCCACTGCAAGGCATGCCACTCTACTCACGTGTCACTCGTTGACTGGATTGTTTTTTATTGGTTGACATGCTCTACGTCAGCGTGTGGCATTCCATTTTTTGTTTCACCATTGTTCATGCTCTAAACCAATACTACTTTTAACAAATATATGTTGCTGAGTATCTTTGATTTTGTGATAATAATTCTAAAGTCTCATCATTTTTTAGAATATACTCCGCGGTACCTTAAAATATCTAAAAACTAATGCGGAGAAACTTTCTATCCATCCCTCCGTCATATTCAGTTACGCCGTTTTCTTTTCACTAAGTTTTGATACGCGTTTCTTGCATTTAAAATTTATTTTTTAGTTTTTTTATGTTTCTTTATTTAAATCGCTTTCAATTTTTAAAATATAAAGAGGTATTGTTACATTTTAAGATGTAACATGTGTATGTATTTATATCGAAACAATATTTTGGGATCGAAATAGGTGGGATGTAAAATATTATACCAAACAAATACGGAGTATTTGGTACTGTATAGTGTAACCGGAGGTATAAGTAGCAATTTGCAAAACTGCCTGGCCTTCCGCCATTTTTTTATTTTTTGAAAACGAATTGAAATTGAAGATTGCCTGTTGATCGGAAATGGTGGTGGCGAAGGAACTCGGCGGCGGAGCACAGAATCTCCCGGCGGATGTTACTCAATTGATCGATCAACTCGAGCGCCACTGCTTAGCTCCCGATGGCTCTCTCCTCTCCAAATCCACCTTCCACGATCTCAAACTCGTACACTCTCTCAATCTCTATAATATTCTACTGGTCTCACAAATCCGATAGGATTTCTTGCTCTTATTCATTTGTTTGGTGGTGCGATAATGCAGGCGAGGGAGGAGATGACGAAAGAGCGACAGCGCTATCTGGAAGCTTCGGTATCAGATCTGTAAATTTTAGCTACTTTTTTTTTCACCGTAGTTCTTTTTTAATTAAGTTTCCTAGAAATTAGCTTAATTTGGGTATGGTTTGATCCTTATATGGATTAATAACGCAGGCAGTTTACACAGAAGCAATTGGGATGGTGGAAGAGTGTCAGCAAGCTCTTTCTGTGGTCCGCATTGGTGGGATTCGAGACGTTCAAGGTCACTACCCTCAGATTGGTCTGAAAGCCCCTCCCCAGGTTCCTTGTTTTCGTACTGTTACTAGCTAGGGTTCCAGAATCTCACATTCCATATTGCTGTTTAATCAGCCAAAGGCCCAGAACTAGTATAGTTCACACATAGTAAACACAATTTATACTCCCTCCATCTCATAAAAAACCTTACAGTTTAGCTTTCATGGAGTTTAATAAAGTTGTTGAAAAGTAAAAATTGTATGGTTATAATTTGTTGAAACGAGAGAATTATTTTGAGCCACATAAAGTGTTTTATGGGGCGGTGGGAGCATTCATTCAGGAAGTGCTTAATGATGGCAATTATGCTAAACCTCATCATTTTCATTTTTCAGGAAGCACGCGTGTGTAAAAATATTTTTAAATTTAGATTTTTTACCCATATCATCACTGAAAGCACAAACTTGAGATTCATTTAGGAAGCACAAATTTGATATTCATTCAATCAGACTCCATTTATGCTTAGATTTTTTAGGACTATGGATATGCATAAATAAAAAATAGAAAGATTTGTTTTATGATGTGGACAAAATGCATGAGTCTATATGTATATTAGGTATATGAGGCCCTTGAACATCGGATGGCAGTCGCAGAAGCTGCTCAAAGATTGAGGCTACCTCTGATTTCCAAAGATGGTGAGCTTCAGGATGATGAAATTGACAGGTGGAGTACACCTTCAAGAAGTTCCCTTGACAGTACTAGCACCAGTGTCACAATGAGCTCGAATTTGACTAATCTGTATACAAGTGGCATGGCTGCTGCTGGAAATAGTGCGCCATCCACTGATGCTTCAGAACCTTTTATTGGTGGTGTTCCTAATCAGTACCTAGGAATAACACCTAGTTATTTATGGCAATCTCAGCTCCTGCAGTCACCATTATGCATGGTTTGTCTTTTTATCTTGTTGGACGTGATTGTTGAACTCAAAATTTTTTAACACCAATGTATTAAACTACAAAGTGTACATTGAGTTGTAATTATTAGTTCTGTCTTGATATCGTATTGTCATACTACAATTGTTCATTTGCTCTGTGGGATTAACTCCAGCTCACATGCTTTAATCATCTGATGCTGTAGGACATGACAGAGTATCAGATATTGCTTTCACGTGAAATTGGAAGTCGGTTAGATGCCAAATGTGATAAGTTAGCAGATGTTATTGCTTTAGACGACATTGGTCAGTCATCTTTGCAAGCTTCCTTCCACAAATTTATGTTATTTCTCCTTGGCTAGATTTTCATCTAGCCCTTTATATCATTATCATCTCCATGTACCCTACTTACTCATGTGCGTATCCACATGAATCTATCTATTGCTCACCTGTGTCTCGCTGTCTTTGAATTGCTTGAATGTTAATGGTTTGGGTGTAAAACAAAATGTATATTTATATATATAAGATTCCATTCATTGGCTAATGTTCACCAATCCTAGACATGTTGTGAATCAATTATGACTTGAGCCTATTTCACCAATCCTGGGCATGTTTCATTTCACAGATCCATCCATCACTAATCAAATACCAACTGCTCGCCTCCCAGAGAGGTATTTTATGTTTGTTAAGCATTTTTTTGTGAACAAGTATTTTATGCTTGCTACAAGGAATATATTAGTGAATGATTTATGCAGATCATAAAATGTAGTTATATTTTATCCTTTACAAACACAATTGTGCATTAAGCAAATGTTATATTTGTGAATAATCAATGATCTACTTCAGTTTGTGGATTATTGACGTAAATAAGTTGAAAGGTATTCTGTCAACCTTAATCTTTGATTGTCACCTCAATTGCATTAGCAAATACTTCCAAGTGGAGGAGTTATATGCATGCATGCATGCATGCATGCATACATACATACATACATACATACATACATATGTTTAGATATTCAACTTAAATTCATGGTTATATCTCTAGCTTTGGTTATCTAAGTTACCATTTGACAGGGTAAAGGTAAAAATTGAGGAGATTGAGAGAGAAGAAGCAACCTTGTGTGAAGATTTGTACTCGTCCGACAGAAAATTTGCAGAATATTACAATGTGAGAACTTTCCAGGACTCAATGCTACAATTTATCATCTTACTCTGACTTTTTGTTGGACTGTACCGTGTTTTCCGTATGGTTAAAAGAATCTTTGTTTAAGGGATTATAACCTAACTTGTAATATTATCTTTCGGTTCAAGGTTTTGGAGCAGATACTTGTAGTGCTTATCAAGCTCGTCAAAGACATAAAGTTGCAACATCAGCATAAATATGTGCGTTTAGTAATCTCGGCATCTCACTATCATTTTCAGTTGTTACAGACTATTATAATGTGTGCTTAGGAGTTCTTGGTAGCGTCACATTAGGGTTGTAGAGTCCTCGTAGCTTCTGTTTTTTATCACTAACACTACGTTCTCACTGCTTTTTGGGGTCTTTGGTAGAGGAAAAGTCTCTGTTCATCTTGTCTCCCAAACTCTACACTTGAGTGTGATATAGTAGGTTTGCTTGGTTTGGTTTGATTAAAAATGGCTTGAAGGGCTATAATGTGAATTCAACTAAAACACTCTGGCTTTTTACCATTTCTCTGATGTAATTTTTTTCTTTGACCTATTTTTTACTAATAGGATGAGCTGCAAAAGACTTGGCTGAGCAAAAGATGTGATACCATGAGTGCAAAGTTGAGGTAGGGTTGACTCGCTGCTAAATTAGGAGTTACTCTTTCAACTCATTTGATGTTCTTTTATACAGGGTCTGTCCTGAAACGAGAAAAATTCAGAAAGATTGACGTGAAAATATATTTTTTGCGCATCTTAAATTTTCAACTTAAATAATACTTCTGTCTCAAAATTAGTGTCAAGTTTATGACTATTAATATACTACGGTATGTATTTATACATCCGAAAAGTTATTCTTTAACTTTTTAAATAATCATAACTATATGGCCGTAAAAATTAGACCTTACAAAATTAGAGGACCTTGCACCGAAAGATAATACAAAAATTAGACCTTACCTATATGGCCTTAAAAATTAGACCTTACAAAAATTATTCTTTTTAAAACATAAGAAGTTTGAGACAACTATTACATGCTTATGGGGTACAGAATCCCTGAAGGAGATAATGGCTTACACTGTTTCATGTTCTTGTAGGGTTTTAGAGCACATTCTCCTGCTCGAGACGTATACACCGGACACAATTCCAGCACTACATAAGATAAGGTAGAGAGAGAGATACAATACATTTCCATAATTATTAGAGAGTTACGAACTGTGCTGCTAAGTTTGTTTATCATTTCATTTCTTAGGAAGTATTTGAGTGAATCAACAGAAGAAGCTACACTTGCACATAATAAAGCGGTACATATATGCCTAGTTCCACATTCATAAGGTCATGTTTGGTTGGAGGATATGAGAAGAGAGGGAAAATCATTCCCTCCCTCCATTTGGTTCAAAACATACTTAACGTGAGGGAGCCAAAGTTTTCCCTCCCTTAACATTTGGAAAGGGAGGAGGTGAGTTTGTTTTTGACTCCTTTGCCCAAAAAAATGTTTTTAATCAAATGACGGAAGGGAATAATTTTCCTTCCCCTCCCATTCAACCAAACACACCCTAAAGCTCAACAGTGGAGATGAAGACTGAACCAAATGTGATATTTGAAACAGATTACCCGCCTTCGTGAGTACCAGGGCGTTGATCCTCATTTTGACATGATTGCAAGACAATACCATGACATTGTCAAGGTAAAGAAGTATGGTTTTTTCATGTTTTGAGCAGATGTCTGCCACCCCTCCCTTTCTATTCCATTACAAAATAACAACAAACCCATTAAAATCCCACAAAAATAGTGTTTGGGGAGGGTAGTGTATGTAGACATCATTCCTACTTAGAAGTGGAAAGATTGTTTTCGAGAGGCCCTCGACTCAAAAACAGAAGCACAGACAAAGAAAACACAGTAGCCCACACAAGTAAGAGCACAGACACAAGAAACACATATATGGACATTAGCAACTAGACCCAAAGCACACAAAGATACATGCATAAGTTATATGCTAGTACAAAAGTGAAAAAACACACCAGCATAAATTTCAAACAAATGCCCGTTTTCTAAATATAATAAGCTCATGCCTGACTTTTAAATGTAGAAATTGGAAGGTATGCGTTGGACTATTCAACAAGTGGAAATGGACCTGAAGCGTATGCCTGCTCCTCATCCCAGCACCTAAGTATGTCTCTCCCATCAGAAACTCACAAGTTATGCAACGATACAAACCATGCCACTTTATTGCATTAGTATTGTACTACCTCCATTTCATATGTTTCTGCTCGTTTTTACTCGACACACTTTTTATTGTAAAATATTTGACTCCAATTTTGCCCTTGGTGGTGCAGGAGATGTAAAATACTCCGTAAAAAATAAGGATAAAATAGTCCTTCCATTTAAGGAAAATGGAAGAAAGATATATGACCAGATAAGAAAGAAACTCTCTCATGATTGCATAGATATAACCATTTACAGGGTAGTTTTTATAAGGCCATGCCATCCCGACGGGGAACGAAGAAACATGGAAGCAAACAATCTTTTGTGAGGCAAGTCATAGAAGAATGGGACAAAGGGAGTGTTTGCAAACTCAATTGGTGTTTGGTACTGGCTTTAGTGCTTAAAATATCACTTTTTCTCACTTCAAAGGCAAAAAAAAAAAACAAAGAGCAATTTCCCATGTTTTTTCTTTCTCTAAATTTGTAAATAATCTAAAAAATTTAATTTCAAATTTATAAAATTATATTTATAGTTTTTAGTATTATGTGTCATCTTATAAAATTTAAAATACTCCCTCCGTCCCTGAGTGTATGTCCACTTTTATTTTTGCACACCATCCAATGCACTTCTTTAATCCATTTTATCTTGTAATTTGTATATTAAAAAATTATAAAAATTATATATTAACAATCTATATGTTAAGACGAATCAAACAAGTTCACACATGACTATTTTTAGGCTTACACATTGAGAGAATTTGATGAATCAAAGTGTTTAGATGAACAGTTCCAAAAGTCAAAAGTGGATAAACACTCCGAGACGGACCAAGTATTTTTTAAAAATTAATAAGGAGATTAATTTGAGAAAATACATAGTTATTGAATACCATTTTGAAAATTTATTCAATATATGATGTGATGGATTTTACCAAGGTTATAGTGACACTCCCTCCTAGTGTCATTATATTAAATTGGTGCAATTGAAATCCCTTTGATATTTAAATTAAAAAATTGAAAGTCTCTACCTTCGATAAGTTCCTTAGTTTCAAAGGACATAATTTTACTTGAAAACGTATGTATACGAATTTAAAAAAATGATATAATGTTTATTATAATTATATAAAATGTACATTTATGAGTACGATGATACTCATTTCATACATGGTTACGTAATACTCACAACCCAAACTTTGGCTGTGGAAAGTGTGGCAAGAAGACGATTTCTTAAGTTCCTTATTGCACTCGATTGACGCAATTCTTTTGGTACATGATGTGGCCAAAGACGATTTCTTTATAAGATGCAAACATCTATGATAAATACACAAATAAAGTGTAATAAAAATGTAAGTGATGAACAAAATCTTTTGCTCTAAATAAAAAAAGGTGGATTGCCTCGCTCCCTACACTAGGGGTGTTCATTCGATAAAACCGTGGAAGAACGGTGGATGTCGTGCAAGACAATGAAAGGAAAATGCTGACTTAGCAGGGCATGGGTGGCAAATGCCTTGTCACTGCCTTTGTACTCTCATTTGAAATACTCTTTTGTCTCAAATTAGTCTTTTCAGTTTCACTTCACAAAATTTAATTCACAAAATTTAATAAAAATGTTAAAAAATAAAAAGTGATAAATTGAAATTTGTTTAAAACAAAGAAAAAGAGTGATACCCACACGTTTTTTAATTTTTTTTTAGGAAAGTGAAGAAGTGTAGCAATTATTTTAGAATTGATTAAAATGAAAGTAAGACGATTATTTAAAAATAGAGTAAATTCCATAATTGGTTCTTTATAGTATGGAGGTTTCCATATTTAGTCCTTTATTATCAAATATTACCCTTATAGTCCTTTTTTCAAGTGTGCCTTTCCACAAATGGTCCTTTTTTGATCTTCTGTCATGTTGGTTTAATTTAAAGGCTAAAAGTATAAATTGACATCAATATTATGTCTAGTGACGTGTTCTGATATTGGTTAAGTGAATAACACAAAAATAATGACTATGATTGTAGGTTAGGATTTAGATGAAAGACCACATTTGTAGACTATGATTGTAATTGAAAGTGTTTGTAATTCACAAACGACGCAAACAGAACAAACTTTGGAATTGTGTATGACAAAAAAGATATATTATCATTGTGCAATTACACTTTTAGCCCTTCAATTAACACCAACATGATAGATTATTAAAAAAAGGACTATTTGTGGAAAGATATCCATAATAAAAGAACCACTAGAATAATGTTTGATAATAGAGAACTAGATAGAAAACCCTTTTGTTATAAATTTTTTTTTAGTGAACTTCTGTTATAAATTATAAAGTACTAATTATTGAATTTGCTCTTAAAAATAGGTATTTTAAAAAGGGGCTTAGTTTTCTACCGAGGAAGGAATCCTTGGGTTTAATGAATCAGGCGGGTCATTATCTTTGGCGGGAAAAGAGTTCACATTCTTCTTCTTCGTTTCTCCGTTTGGTCGCGTTTTCTAGCTCTGGAGTGGGGAAATTGGTCGAAGCTTTAACCCACAAATGTCGAAATTGCCCGAAATCTCATCGCTCTTCGCCGCCCTCGCATCGAACCTTGAAAGGACTGCCGGAGAAGAAGATCGAAATCTCGACGATGCCATCCGGAAGCTCAACCTGTCGCTCAATCTATCCGAAACCAACCCTAGAGCTCAGGTTCTGGACACTGCACTCTCTCTCATGTGCATCACCGCCCCGCAGGTGAGCAATTTTCGCTGGGAACAGTTCAATTGCGAGAATCGGTCCATGTCCTGAATTTTCTGACTTATTTTGTTTTGGATCTCGTTAGGTCTTCGATTCCATGATTGAGTTCACGGTGAGAACAATTGTTACCGTTCTGTCTTCATCGGCTGAACTGCAGGTTGTTAAGTGGGGCAATAAGGAGAGTTTACAGGTTTCCGGATCGAGTTTTGGTCTGGATTGTGTTGGAACATTTGAAGCTTTTGCTGATATTTTACTAAAACTCGAGGCATTTAGAGGTCTTCTCTGGGTTTCTTTTCTTGTTTTGATAAAAAATTGACTAGTAGCTTATATGTGTTGACAGATTAGAAACATTTGCCTGATATTTGTATGCGGACTAATTGGTGATTGAGAAGCTTTCTTTTTTGTGCTTTCTTCATATCTGTGGCAGGAGATCTTTCTCCTTCATTGCTTTATGCCGTTGTAAGAGCTGCAACATTTGCACCTAACTGTCATCATCCAGAGAAAATCGCTGAGATGAAACTTAGGGGTGGAAGGAATTCTGCTTTTGCAAAGGTGCTCCGCTATTCACCAAGGGACAGCAACCTCAAAAGTGGAGAAATTCCTCTTAGGTTACTCTTTCAAATTAATTTTACTACAATTTTTTTTAATGTGCCATGTTGACTGACTCGACTCGCTGCATTCACCCTTTAATCCTACTTCGTTGAGGAAGCACTGTTCAAGAGTGCAGAAGTTCATACTCCGTATAATGAATCCAAAATTTTTTCCGTACCATGTTTACCTATTTGGTATGATATATGAGAGCCAAACCAATTGTATTTTACCAATTCAATATCACCCACAAATTTTCATTTTTCCTAAATACACGTGCCACGCTCCCATGTCTCAAAAATAGTGAGTCAAAGGGAAAACATTTCCTCAACCTTTGTTGTATCACACACTCTCATCATCTGTAGTTTGCCCAATCAATCTTGTATGCCTCATTTTCTTATAGATTGGCACCAAAGTGTTTTTCCTCTAGTACCGAGCAGTTTTTACCTCTCCGGATTTTGTTGACTAGGTATGTTAGCCAACCGAGTAGAATCTACATTTAAATTGAATTTTGAGAAATACAAAATATATTCTTTGCATTAAATTTTATCTCCATGGGTGTTTCAGAACATGCTTCAAGTCTTCTATTGTTTAGTGGGCTCTGGCAACTTTTATGTCAACCACTCGTGACATTCTCTTCTTTAATCTCGTCCCTTTAATCCCCTGGTCTGCCTGACCAATATTGTTCTTTCTATGACTTCTGAAACAACAAGCACCATGAGAATGTGTCGAGTAGTTGTAGTCTCTCTCAAGATAACCTTACAATCAACACAACTCCTATCTGACCTTTTAGCCACAAGAAAGTCAATTTCGCTTGCATTTGTAGTTTGTACCATTTCTAAATGTTACTACTTACCAGATGAAGTTTCTTGTTGTCTCTAACCATGACTTTTCTATTATGATGTCATGCTGAAGCAAAGTTTGGAATAGTCTCTTTTCATTCATTTTTGTTTCCATGCCCAAAATCACTGTGCACAGTATAAATTTGTCATGACTAGCCCCAAGATGTCCATTGAGTTCTCCACCAATGAATAATTTATCCATTTATAGTATACGTTGAACCACATATGTAGGGTATCCCAAAATTGGTGTTTCGTTGGTTATTCTAGCCCCACTTGTGCAGCATCACAGCTAAATTTTTTACTCCGTATATTTTATCATCACAACCATGTCTCTTGGAAACAAGCTCTCGACTTTCGAGTAGGGGCAAGGTTTGCGTACACACACCCTCCCGAGACCCTAGTCTCGTGGGATCCAACTGGGTTGTTGTATCATCACAATCCTGTCACTCCTCTTGTGCATGCCAAGAACATCCTTTACTAGTTGATCACTTGATCGTCAGTAATGATTTAAACTCCATTATTACTAGCTGAGCATCAACAGTGATCTTAACTTACTGATTCTCAATAATGATTTTAACTTCATTCCTCAGCAATAATCATTTGCAGAATGCTCTGGCTGCTGCTTGAGCCTCTACTTCTTAAGAATGATATATGCCAAATTTTACAACAGAACACTAGTCGATCTTTCCTTTTCAGGTCATTATGTTCCACCAAGTCACCAACTCATATGATGCTTTATGTTTTTTACTATTCGTTATGCAGGTTGCTGTGGTGGTTGCTTGATCCTATGCTTCTTAAGAATGATATATGCCAAATTTTACAAGAAACCACTAGCCGACCATTTCTTTGCCTAGAAAAGGAATTTTATGAGAAGACAGATTGGCACTGTATTTTAATTTGTTTGGTTCTTAATCCTACAATGTTTATGCAGACAAGGGCTCTATTACATAATTGGTTTCTACTGACGTGAGTCCTTAAACATTTTATTCTCTTTCTTTCTCGCACACACATAAATAGCTTTCTAAATAATGTTTATGGTAATATATTATTTTTTATTTCTCATTGTAGTATTTAAAGTCTGTTCATTCTTATGATTTCTCAAATTGCTTCTGATATGTTTCGCTAGACCATTGTTTTTGTTACACACTGGACTATATTTATGCTGATTTATGGATTTTATGCCTCTGCATTACATTTTTATAGAAATCTACAGACTGCAGTGATACCATTTTCATTTAGAATAGATCTAAGTCTTTGGATGGTTTATAGTTTATGGCTCATTAAACAAGTCTTATGAGTAATCAAATATTTCTGATGTGCTAATTTAACTTGGTAGGGTTCATTATACATAACAGGGGTTTGGCTTCTATCTTAGAGCTTCACAGTGAAATAGTCTTGAGAGTATTAGACGTTGGTTGCAGACCAATGTGGTGGGGAGTACCAATGGAGATTGCATTGTCACTTCCATTTTCGCATGCGTACTTTCCTTGTGAAAACCGGCTCTTGAGAATACTTTCTGGTCCACTGTCCTGGGAAAATTTTTCGCATTTAGTTTGTGAAGTTATTAAACCAAACTGTGCTGCCAATCAGCTTAATTCTACTTCCAACCATGCTGTGAAGGCTTCAAGAGTAGATCATAATTCCTGTTGGTATGTTTCTTACTTCTTTTTCTTTCTTTAAGCTGATAGAAATGCATGAATGCATGATTTGAGCTGTTCCATTTTACTTTATCATTACAGGGCAATGACAATAAACTTTCCTAGTTGGTTCTCCTTTGCCTCTTTGCTGCTTTTCCTTGATGGGAGTTCTATAGATAGATGCTATTTGAAATGTATACCTTGGTTAAACAACTCTGACCAGCCATGTGATACAGAGCTGCCTTATTCTTCTGTAGCTGCAAGGTTTATTGCATGGGTTTTGAACCCTATAGGCGATTCTTGCCAGGACCTGTTAGTTGAGTGTTTGACTGGACTTTTACGTGTAAAGACCCTCAAACACTGTGGTTTTGGTAGAGGCATTGCAGCCACTGGTCGCAACACAAAGGAAATTTGGAGGTCATTATCAGACAAAAAGGGTAACATCAATTTTTCCAACTTTGACTCCCAAACGCTGTTGCTTTGGCTCAAAGAAGTTGATGACATCCATATAAGGTACTCCAGAAAAGTTAATGAACATTATGCATCCGCAGACCATTCACAAGGAATTGGCTGTCAGAAAAATTCTCTATATAGGAAGATGCCTTTGGGTATTTTGCTTTGTTATTCTGATAGTATAGGAGAGGCAGAAAGTGAACTGCTTTTGCATTATGCTGCAACCGGTACCTTCCACAATCTCTTCAAACAACAAGTTGAGCAAAAACGTATGAAGCATAGCCTTGAATTTGCGCTGACTGACAAGTACACAAGAAAAGAAGCTGTATCAGGAGCCAACATTGCTTTCAATCTAACTGATACAATTGAAAGTATGTCAGCTTTGATGTTTGAGACAGAGGAGGATGGGCTGAAGTTTTTGAGTCAGGTGAAAGGAAAGATTGTTAAATATCTACTCAATTGTGTCAAGAGGCTACTCCAACTTAAAGTAGCTGATGACTTCATGCAGCTTAGTGATCTCTATCTTAGAATGGTCAGGTGGAAACATCAGGGACAGGATATCTGCAGCCGTTTCAAGGATTGGGATGATGCCATTGGTGCCGTGAAGTGTGCTTCCTCACCCCAAATTTAAGGAGTTATGCTTTGTTTAAAAGACACAGATTTCCAGCATTTTGGTGGAAACAATTGCTGTAAATCTGTAGCGCTTAAGTGGAAAATTGGAATGAATACCGCTCTCTTGGAATAGTGTTTATTTGGAGAAGATACATATAGAAAAATACATGTTTATTGCAATCAAACAAATTTCGCTGTCCCACTAACACTTAGGCACCGTGTGTGTGTGTATGCCTTTGGAATGCATAGTTGCTGTACAACTGATCAAATTGCTTATGCAAATGGAATCAGCGGCCTCTCCTAAAATCAAAGACGGCCAAGAAGCAAGGACAATGTTTCTTCAAATGTCTTCTTCACCTGTGACCTACACATTTATGTACGAGACTACAAGGATGAAACAGCATCTGCTCAATCAGTATGTTCTTCTTAATAAGGAGATTTTGGTGGGGTCACCACCCCATTCTTCAAACACAACCACAAGATTTCCAGTTGGTCTCAGCCATGATCGTGGTATATGATACCTGAAATTTGCAAGTTCAGTAAAAAGGTGAATCAAGTGATATTAACACGCCCGGTTTTATTGAACTCTGTGATGTGGAATGGATGAGACTTGAGAGAACTATGTTTAAGGAGAGTAATAAGTTAAGCTTGTACCATCTTTGAGATGGTTGTCCACAGTTAGTCTGGCATTTTGTCTCACTGTAAGTTCCGGCATAGCTACACCCACCACAACTGCCACGTGCAGTATATGCAGGCCAATGACGTCCTAAGCCTTTTCCATTTATCCATATTTGACCTTTCCCCATATTGCTCATGTCAAGAGCTAGCGGATCATTTCCTTTTGGCTCGTTAAACTTGGCCTATAAAAAGCATGCTCCAAATGAAGGTAATGAAGGTATGCCATGCTATGTCGTGGTTTTTTATTATTTATTTTTGGCATCAAACAAGTGAATTTTTGTTGTTAGCATCAAACATGTCATGTAAAGTGAGACTAACATCATTTTAGTGTGGTTTTACCTTGTACCAGGTTACTGGCTTTTTTATAGCCAGAGATGAAGCATCCCAGTCAACAGAAGAGCTCCCCATTATTGTATTAAGACTTACTAATTCTCCTTTAAGACCAACCTGTGTCAATAAACAAGGAGTGACTGCCCTTGATGAATGAAGGCACCCAAAAAAGAAAGGCTAAAAAACCAAACCTTATAAGACCACTTATGCTTTGTCAGGTCTCTTGTTCCCTTATTAAGACCACTCAATGTAACTGGACCAAGAACTCCAGCATTCCACCGCTCATAATGTGTGCCAACATTCTGAATACATCCAAAAGGTACCATGTCTTAAACTCTTAATAGAACAGTATTACTTCCCCCTCTACCCCCGCCCTGCTCAAAGAAATTCTTTGTTGTAAAGTTGATTTCAGTGTTAAAATATACAAATAAGGCTTGTTTTTTTGGATCAGAAGTTGTAAAAAGTACAAGTTGAACACTGACCGGGAGACCAACAGCAACACTAAGTAGGGAAATCTTGTTAATACCGGCTGCCAATTTTACATTGCCTGTGTATGTTACGTTTGGATTACTCAGTTCTCCATATACAGTTCCTACCAGAAGACCAGCAACACTTAGTTAAATAGAATTAAAGATAGATAGAACTGTAGAAGTATATAACACAAAATGCTGCGTTCTTAAATATGGTGCATCCCCAAATACCTGAAAATTGACCATTAACAAAAACATGCAACACATGACCAGCAGAACAAACGGTTAAGGTAGGGTACTTTCCATTCTTTAGAAATCCCTCATTTGAAGCAATCTTCACTCTGGAGTGATCAAGCAATAAAACAAAATCATATATAACTGTGAAGATGACATGCCATGTCGAACTAGCATAAATTTTTCAGAAAAGCTAGAAGGCGATTAGTGCATACTCGGTCATGTACCACAAATAGTCTGAGGAGTCTCTGGTTACATTGAGTTGCTCCCATAAGTGCTTAGCTGTTGTCATTTCACTCTCACTTGAAGTTGGAGTTTCTTCAATGTAGGATTGCCATGAGAATCCACCCACAACCGGAGTCATCTTGATCTGTGGGCCTTTGGAGATAACCTGCAATTTCTTTGTACAGTAATGGTTCGAAGTTTCTGATGGGTTAAGACCATGAGTTCTGACTTCTGACCAGGGGCAGATTTACAGTATGAATTTTAAGGTAATATTTTCCTAAGCCTATATTAATCTTTTCATTAAGGTAGCCCAACTTGAATTTCTAGATCTGACTTTCTAACAAACTGATTAAAAGACAACTAATGTAATTGAATGCAACGATTGAATGAAGCAAAATTTGAATTCAACAGATATGGTAAGAGCACATTTCTGGAAGAAAAATAGAGCTCTCATTACCTTTGCGGTGTTGTAAGCAACATTCTTGCAGTCAGGTAGAATACTAATTGACCAAGGAAGCAGGTCATATTGATGATTTTGAAATGCAACTTTTACTGAATTTTTGGGGTCATAGTTGGAAAGAAATGAAGCACACAACCCAGATTTTGAGCGAAAGACGTAAGCCTAGTGATCAAAATGAGGAAAAGTGAGTCTATCTGATGATTTAAAAGGTGATTGATATACCATATGTACTAGTAGGTTACATGAAAGTACGAAACCAACCTCTTGATTTTTGCCAAGCCGGGTAACCGTGGGATATGATGAAACTAAAGCTGGTTCCACAAGCTTTATTATTTTATGCAAATCCCTTAGGTGTCCGTATTTTGGTTCATTAGGAAGGCCTAATACATCATTGAGATAAAACCACAATCAGGCATCAATACAAGCAAAAAATTGCTTAGTCAAGGTTTTTATTGCCAGGCCAAATCCATTTTGAGTTTTATGCCTTGGCTTGTTANATGCCATTCCTTATATTGTTCCTTCACTCTCCATGTTATTACAAAAACATGAAGATCATGCTAAGAAAGTGCAGAAATGGTAGGGACCTGTGTAAGGCATAACAGAAATGGGACAAAGACAGAAACATGTCTTCCTTGGGAAATGTTCAAATGACTGTGCTACAGTGCCTTTAGGTGTGCCCCCGCATTTTTCCCCAACATATATGAGCTCAGAATGTGTCCGTGAGCTCATGTTGCTTCTTTGTGTCAAGGAAAAACAGAGTAGATGCAAGGATTTGGGCACACCAGGTCATTTTAACTTCTCCCATGTGCAAATGCAAACAGCAAATATGTTGCCAATCCACATAGCATGACCTATCCCTGACAGTCTTGAGTCATCACAGACTCACAGTATGACGATTAACCATTTCTTGAAGTATCATACCATATTCATCTAGAGGGGCATCATAATCATAGCTAGTAGTGATGAATAGACCAGCCGCTTCACGTCCAAAATTGGTTCCTCCGTGGTACTGAAAGCCACCACACACACAAATTTGGTATATATCTTTTCTTACACTTTTACACAAAATGAAAGATTGACCAAAGAACGAACCATGTAATAATTAACAAAGGATCCATTATTCTGGATGAACCTTGCTACTGAAAATGCTATATCTTCTACAGGTCTGCGGTGTACTGGACCTCCAAACTTTGTATACCTGCAGCAGCAGAATCCAACCATAAGAAAGTCGGTCAAAAGAAGGAGAGAAAGGAGGTGAGAATTCATTCTCTAGACTTTCCATCCAGTCCACAGTTCCGTAAACACTTTGGGTTTGTATGGTTTGTTGGGATGAAAGCCTTCACAGTAGAATCCATTGCACGTGTCAATCTGCATATTGTTTATCACATGAAAACGAATCATAAGTGTGTTTCCCCTATTCCATTGATGACTGCTTCATAAACGATTGATTGTTGTAATTAGGACAAAACACATTCCCAAGAATCCCAACATATTAATCCCCAAAAAAGCCACAGAAATATATATAGATATGACACTATCTCTGTACTAAAAAATTTCTGAGAAGTTTATGGACTTAGGAGTATATGATATTATTTTCCGTAATTTTAAAAACATACTATCTCCGTCTCAAAGTCACAAATTTCTCAAGACTTCTTTCATTGGCACGAGCAGTATATTATACGCCCCCCCATTGTTTTTTCATGGTTTTTTAGGTGAGCACTTGACCATAATTGTTCAACATAGACATAGTACTTCCTCTGTCCCAAATTAAACTGCTTTGAAGTATTTTGTAGGATAAATCTAACTGTAAAATTATTTACTTATCAACCCATGTACAAGTACCTTTTTATTAATCAGCAGTCACAATTATAGAATTTGACCTTAAGAAAAAAAAAAGCAAAGTAGACAGATAGGTTGGGACAAATGTGGTTAGAGGGATGGACATGATTTTGAATGCATGATGGACATGAAAGACTTGAAATGGCATATGAAGAAACCTTTGTAGCTGTACTATAATAATGCTGCAGCAGGTACACAAGAAACACCAGCCTTGACATTATTTAATGCCCATTCCAACTGGGAAAATGTACTTTAAGAAGCAAAACACCAAATTTTCTTTGCACAATAAATGAAGGCACACCTAAGTTTCCAACAAGTCATTTAAGCAATTGGAAGAAGGCAACAACATATCAGATATAGCTGTTACCAGCCCACTACTTACTATAGGGTCTGGAGCATCCTCTTGCTTGCACATGACCCACGGAACTCCGGTCCCGAGCCCGACAGCCATCTGGGCTGCCCATTTCGCATACGACTTGCCCGGACCGCCCGTTTCCCACTCCACTGGCCCGTACTCGTTTTCGATCTGCATCAAAGAACGAATTCGTAAGATCGGTTTTGAGAATCCCTTTATTTGGTAACTTGAAACTCAAGGCAGACAGAAGTATTAATGATCTCTTCTTTTCAGCTTTTAACTCCGGTTATCCAGACTTTCGTCTTCTCACTTTTACTCTAGTTGTAAATTTAAATAGTGCAAGGGCTTGTTCTCTTCACCTTCTGATTAATTCTAATCTGACTGGAATAAGTTCTGATATGATTGTAGTTGTATTCGGAGTTGTTCTTTATGTGATCTTATTGTAATTGTATTTAAAGTTGTTTCTGATGTGATCTGGTTCTAATAAGAATAAGTAATAAGAATGAATTGAAGATGACAAGCTGTGAGTGTAACCTGACTCATGATTATTGGTCCACCCTGTGATTCAAACATATTTTCTGATTTCATCATGCCCACAATTTTCCTAACAAATCCTTCCATAGCAACCTTATAATTATAGTGAAACAAAGATAGAGTGAGTAATAAAATAAAGTAGACAAAATTTTAAATGTAAATCACACCTAAAACTTTGAAATATGCATACAAGTCTTGTCTTTTTACACCCAAAGAATTTCTTCCATTTTAATATTTTAGGTGTGATGTAAGTGTGGTGTACATGTAAAATTTTCCTTAAAATTAAAAATAAATAGGGAACCAAATCTTGTAGTTAGGGCTCAATAAACCAATTGAAATCGAATTGATATAAACAAAAACCGATTAAAGATTATTTAAAAAATGAACCTTGAAAGGCTGATTGTTAGTTCTAAATTCCATGCCAGGCACATATTTTAGCCAAACAGGAATTCCTCTGCATCAAACCAAAGTCACATTATTGTTACCATTTTAAGCTTCACATCCAAATTTTCATCACTGGCATTTAAGACTTTACAACAAATACCCAAAATTCCATTCTGCACAAATGTAGGGCCCAATGCGTAGATGAACAAAAAGCCCTGCTTCATGCACCACCTTTATGAACTTTACCAAATCATATCTCCCTTCAAAATTATACTGTAATAACCACAAAAAATTTACTGCAAATAAATAAGTTTGCAATTTCAAAGAGTAATTCTTTTGACACCAAATGTCATTTGAAGGTCATGCAATGTTTCGTTTGAACCTGAAGAGTAATTCTTTTCAAGTCGAACTGAATACCGTATGACCTTCGAATGGCCCAATGTCATATTATAACACCAAACACCGGGTTTTCAAATGCACAATTAAATCTTTTATATTTAAAAATATAATTTTTAATATGTAGTACCTCTTTAGTTTCAAAATATTTCAACATTAGAAATTTCACACTTGCCAATGTAAAAATCAAACCATTTATATATTCAATTATTGTTTAGTAACAATTCCAGTATTTAAAAAGATGATATCATGAAGGCTTTTTACTATTACACTCCGTATTTTTTTTTACTTAGTTATAAATCATAAAAGATGGTCAAATGAGAGAGAGAGAGAGAGAGAGAAAGAGGGAGAGAGAATAATGCAAAATTTTGACCCTTACAATTATTTTTGAAGAGACTAAGTAATTTATAAGAGGGTTATGGGATTAATTACATTCCCAGGAGAAGGTTCATGCCCATTCCAAAACACGTAAGTCTGTATAACATCCAATCCTCCATCTTTAGCCTTTTGTATAAGATCAGGCCACATCTACAAGAAATACCCACTGCTTAAAAAAATACAGCAGTTTGAAAAAAAGAGGAAAAAAACATATAAATACTCTCAAAATTGGATGATTTTATGCGAATACTCCGTAAAAAGGATTAAAAATTAATGTGGATTTCTCTCACACCGGAGAGTGGATCTCTGGCCAGTTATTATGGGGTTCCATGAGCCACGTGCCTACGCAGATAAACTCATGGAATTACAGAATAACTTTCAGAGTTTTCAAGCTGTCGGTTGTTTAAGGGTTTTGGGCTTAATATATCATTTTTTTCAAGTAAATAGTTACTTTTTGATTATTCACTTAAAATTGATGAAAAAATCATATAAATACTCCCAAAATTCGACGATTTTATGCAAATCCTCCCAAAAGAAAATTGAAAATTGATGTGGATTTCTCTCACACCGGAGACTAGATCTCCGGCCAGTCATTGTGGGATTCCATGAGCCACGTGCATAAGCAGATAAGCTCATGGAATTATACAATAATTCTCGGAGTTTTCAAGCTGCCGGTTGTTTAAGGGACAATATAATGATTTCTGGGCTTAATGTATTATTTTTTCGAGTAAATAGTTACTTTTATGAGTATTCACTCAAAATTGACTAATTTTTCAGAGGATTGACGTGAATTTTTCCAGATAAATTAAAAACATATATACCTCAGGGGTGCTTCTTGGGTAGTGAATGGAACCAGAAATGAGAATCCTTCTCTTGCCATTGATCACAAAAGTTCTTCCATCATATGAAACACTGCCTCTCACTGATGAACAAACCAGAGATGATAATAACACCACGAACACCACCAACATTTGCTGCCTCCATTTCTTCATTCCCATGCCCTTTTCTTGAATAATTTTTTTCTTAATTTAAAAAAAAAAAAGAAAAATGAAGAGATTATAAAGATTATTTCCTTCTCTTTCTACTGTTTTGCCTTCAATTCTCTTTCTGCACAGAGAGGAGGAATAAATGAATAATGATGAAACCTGTGTGTGTGTGAGTGATTGTATTCTTTTGGGACAATCTGTTTACACATGTAAAATGAAGATGCTTTTGTATGTGTGTGTGTGTGTGTTGGATATATATAATGTAGAATATGATATGATTAGGGAGCTAAAAGAAAGGGGGAGTGAGGCTAAAGAAATTAAGAGCTTCAATTGATTTATAAAGATTTTGAGGATGGATAAAGGGAGGGAGTGGGACCATAGTTTTCACAAACAAAAATGTTACTTCCTCTCTCTTTTCCAGCTCAGTGTATTCGTTCAGTTTGACCTTCTAAAGTTAAATTAGACGAATTTTAATCATTAATATAATTACTTGAAAAAGTCAAAATAGACAATTACACCGAAATGAAGCTAGTATTAAAATTGACATCATCAAGACCCACGAGTCTTCATGTGGTCCCTCCGCCTAGTGTGGCTGCTGAACTCATTGTGGAGGATTTGATGAGTGGTGCTTCTCTTAAAAGAATTAGTTTTAGTGTGATTAACTTCTTTGATTAAAGACTACTCTGTATTTCATAAAACTATTTGCGAAAAACAATATTTTCTCATATTTGGTCCAAAGGAGTGTTTATGAAATAGTTTTTCAAAATTGAAGATAACTTATACTCTTTCTGATGGGTATATTCTTATACCCGACCCGGATAACCGAAAGGGACAGGTCAAAATATGACCGGTCACTTTTATCAAGTCACCAAATGATGTTAGCTCTTCGATTGGGACGGGTCAAAAATTGACTGGTCACTTCCACTAAAAAAGTGACCGGTCACATTTTGGGCGTTAGCCAATTCGCCACTTAATGTTGCGAAGGATATTCTAGAGGACCAAAGAGATGGGTTGAACTCAAGAAATGACCGGGTAACCTTTGAGGAAAGGTTACCGGTCAGGTTGCGCTACTTGAGAAGGGCAATCAACATCAGAGGCTAGAGGACACCCCGCCGCTCATCCATCACGAGGCAAACAGTGAAGGGAATGATTGACGTTTTGCAGGATTGATTGGATTGAGAATATCCATGTTATAGTCTTTGATTGAACAGTGCATGTCTTGGCTTGTAGTTGCTAGATTCATTGATTGAATTGTAAATTGATTATGTACAGTGACCTTCCTCCGGGTTTCCCATTTTGTCCATGGATGAACAGGGGAAGGTCACAAATCCTCCTCTATAAATATGATGATATTAGATAGAGGAGGGATCCATTCTTTCTCTCACTAAAAACTAGTACATTCTTGAGACAGAGTAAAAAATATATTTCGGACTGAGGAGATTTACCCGGTCTAGGTCATACTTTGTATTCTTGTTGTGTGTTTTATATTACGGGTCGAGTGTCAAGGTCAAACCCGGTCAATCCACCCATCTATATTTACACCATCACTTTCCGTCCCCAATTTGATTACAAATTGCGGGTTACGAAGTAAAATTTTCTATTTTTTATAATCATTTTATTTACTAATTGATATATCAATAAGATATAAAAATTACATATTAAAAAATTACGTCAAAAGTTCTACAAAGCAAGAGGTGACAAGAATATTTATTTTATCAAATACTTAATTAAATCGCGTAAACAAACAAAAGTTATCGAGAAGAGAGAAAAAAAATTGTAATCCATTTAGGAACGGAGGGAGTAGAACATCTAAGAATTGGAAACTAAATATAGAAAAATACTTGTAATTGAAATTATTTATGGAATTTCCTCATTTGAAAAGAGAGCTAATTTTGTTGATGCATCACACATGCCGATAGCAATGATGGACAAAATTGCATATTTGAAAGGTTAAGACGTAGGAGTAATAACACTCTCTCCTTCTAGGAGTATTTGTCTACTTTTGATTTTTTTGGTCAAAATTAGTAAATTTTGATATCAAATTAAATAAAAATGATATTAGATATTGATACAAAACATGAAAGTCTTGTTTTTATACTTTTCTCTATGCTTTAGTCCTATTTAGGATGCATGATTTCTATGAAAACAATTAATTTTACAATCGAAGTACTGTAGCGTGAAGGTGATCCAATTACAATTAAGTTGATCTAAGATTATCCCTCCTCTTCTTTTAATTGGTAATGTGACATATATGTACAATGGGGATGATAATTTTTTTAGGATTGCAATCTGTTTTTTGTATTTAAATTTGTAAATGAACGTGATTTATTTAAAAATGAAAAAAAGGTCCAATTATTCTAAGGCTCCGTTTGGTATACAGAATTCAAACTATGAAATTAAAATTGATGACGGGAATTTCAATTCTCTGTTTGATAGCACAAAATATATGAATTTGGAATTGAAAGTGCCAAAAATGAATTAAACTTGGAGAATTTAATTCCATCCAAATCAATTTCATAAAATTTCAATTTTCAATTTGATTCCAATTCCGTTAATTCCGTGTACCTAACAGACCCTAAAAAAAATTATAGGTCATATTTTAATGGGTTAATGTTTTTGGAATTGGAAGTTCTCCCATTCTTTGACTGCGTAAATAGTATAGAAGTTTACCACCTTCATCCTACAAAAATATTACACTTTCTATTTTTGAGTCGATTTAATTAAAGTATTTTTATGCCTATTTTATTTGATTTTTGGTATAATTTTATAATCTACTCCGTATATAAATTTTAATTAATTTCGTAATTAATTTTAAAATGAACTAAATTAAAAATAATCTCATTCAAGTATCTTAATGACTTAATCCTACTCCGTAATTGTCAGGAGTTTAATTGTTGACTTGTTTTGGCCACAATTTCATACCACGCCCGTGGGTGTGTGCATGTTTTCATTTCATCACCGTTGACATTTTATGAAATGAAAAAAAATAGGATCATTATTAAGATAAAAATTTAGTTTTCAAATAATTAATTTAGAGATAACATAGTATACAAAAATAATTAATTTTCTAAAATGGGAAATAATCATGGAAAAAAGACTAAAGTAAGAGTCAAATATTAAAAATATACCAAAATAGAACTTCTATGTTTTTATTCTCGAAATAAGAGTTAAAATGAATTTGCATTGTCAAACATGGTCATTGATATTACCAGGAGTGTAGTAATGTCACATGTACAGGGCCACATTACAATCATATTATCACAGTACGAATCTTATTTTGAGAATAAAAACATGGAACTCCTATTTTAATACTTTTTTCTATGTTTTAGTCATATTTAGGGTGATTTCTAATTAATTAATTAATATGTCAATCTTAATCTCCTATTTAACATCGGAGATGCAGTTGTGCAGAGAGATCGAATACAATATAATAAGACTGATTTAATTGAAATATGAAAAATAGATTACAAAGAATTTTAGGTGCATATCATTTTCTTTTGGATTTTCTCACATATTTTTTATTTAAAAAAAGAAATACTTATTTAAATAGTAAAAAATACTTATTTTATTTATATGTAAGTTCATGGTGGACTTTAGGTTCATAGAATTTGCCTTTTTGATGATGGGCTCTAAGGGCTTGCCCCTCCGGCCTACTCCGGGGACAACCCTTAGTTTGATAGTACTAATAAAAAAAATCCTTTTATATGCATGGTATTTGGTAGAGCTGGTGGTATGATTATTCAATTCTTGTACTTTTGGTGGTAAATTAAAAATTGATACATGAAGTTGGCCCGAGATCTACTTCATCGCTTAAAGCTTCACTGCGAAAAAAAATGTACATCCTGTTGTATGGTTCGGTATACACTCTCTTTTGTCGTGTACTATTTCAAGATTTGAATTCTTTTTTTTCATAGGAGTAATTGATCGGGCGTGGGACTTGGTATAGATATACGCATGCTTAAACTTCTTCTTTGCCATTAAAAAATTGCAATAAATTTATACTTCAACGACTAAAGACTTCTATCGAAGTAAGATTAGTCCAGCTCATGGCAAGACTTGTGTTCAGAACATGATGACTTAGGATTAGTCTGGATGACGGACATGATGTTAAAACTCTATACTATTTATTTGTTAAAAAATAATGCTAAAAAGATTACAACTAAAATCTTAAGTAAAGCATGCATTACAAAAGACTAACAAATATTTTTGAAATATACATTTTTCTGAACTAACAAAAGCCATTTTTCACATGTCAAGTAATCATAACTATGAAATCTCAAAACATTTGGGTCCAATAATATTAGAGAGTCCATCATATTTATTTATTAGTTCATTTCCTTCACATGTACTCCATATATATTCACCAACAAATTGGTGTCTTTATCGTACGTGTGAATAAATAATCAAAATCGGAATATTGTGAGTAGGTAATCAAGATGCTGAAAAAAAAATATATTATTGCATTATAAAATATTCAAATTTGTGTAGATGCTGATGCAGAATTATTGACCACTACATAATACGTAGTACTAATTGGCTTGTGGAATTTGGGCACCAAAATGAAGATATTGCAATGTCCAACCGGACGTGAAGAAGGGCCCACCCTAATCCTCATTGGATTTAGAACCAATTATCTTTTATTGCCTTCATTTATATGCTCCATATTCTAATTTTTTTTGAGAAATGCTAGATTCACAAACAAAATGATTACAAAACTCACTAATTTACTATTTGTGAATTTCAATAAAAAAGTTAAAAAATCTAAAATAATTTTAAAATAAAAATTTTAATCATAAACGATAAATTTGTGAATTTTATGATCATTCTATGTGTAAACCTAGTATTGTTCGATTTTTTTACATATAAAGTTTGAAAAAACAAAATGTGATAGTACATATTCTCTAAGTGGGCTGCAATCACTCAATCACCTTTAAGGATAACGAGCAAAACTTAATAATTAATCAAAGAATAATTAAAATACTTGTACCCTAAATAATGCACTGCAGACATGCACTTTTATTTTGTATCAATATGACGCTAGCGTGATAGTTCATACAAGCATGAAATATTAGTGTAATTTTTTTAATCAAACTAGCATATTATGTCAATGTAAACCGGCCATATCAAAATGTTAGTAGTGCATACGTTTGATGTAAATTTTGAGGTACATTTCATGGGGTACCTCTAGCATGGTTGTTAATTTAAATATAAAATTGGATGTCTTAGAATTTGGAAGCCCCCCCCCCCCAAAAAAAAAAACTCGTGATCTAATAGATATGGTGTACGCACTCTTTTCGTCCTACAAAAT